GCACACATCGGGGAGTGTCTCGAAGACCTAGGAGGTCCAGGCTTGATGCGGTCGTAAAGCTGGTCGCGACCAAGGAGGGAATGTGAGTGGATCCCAATGCCTCGGAAAATTACAGTTGCCAATTTTGTGTTGGAATATATGTTCGCTTTCCTCAGCTGAGCTCGGGAGTTTTCTCACTAATCATTAGTGTTCACAAACATTCGGATAGGAGTATACAGAAATCAATAATGATTTCCCAGAATTTCCACATTGTCACCAACTCACGTAGTTGATTACACGCATGTGCCACTGAACTCATCTTGCAAGGCCAGATTGATATACTGTTGATGTATTCCTCTCAGGTTGACGCTATTTTGCCTCGCCGTTGGCGGCGGTGCTGCTGTCTATTTTCTCGGCACAACAGGCATCGTCTTTCTCTTGCTGGGTAGTGGGCTCATTATAGGCATTGCTACAAGTGATATCTGGCAAAAGTTGATGGCTTTTTTCAAGTTCTGATAGCCGCTACTTCGTCAAGCATACGTTGTCTGGATGGAAGATCTCTATCGGAAAATTTGATGAATAAGATCCTGGAACTTCTGGGAGGTCCCAGGGTGACCGATTCGGGATTCAGGACCCACGGCATATCCCTTCTTAGAGGCCTCATAGGAAAGTCTGCGACGGTGCCTCAAGCACGGCTAGTGCAGCCTCTGATCGCCCGACTGTCGCCGAGTCTTTATACCAGCAGGGTGGAGGTGGCCATTCATATTCTACGGGGACTACGTGAAACCGGCGCGAGTCTGGCCGAGTGTGTCCGACCCCTTGTAGAAATTGCACTGTGTGAGAGGTCTCCTTACTCTCTTATGGTGGAGTCGGCTACTCTCCTTGCCGGTGATGACGTCAACTTGACACAGTTCCACGAGGGCCTCCGAATGAGGTTCATGGATCTGCACACGGAGCATTTCAGCAGTAATGATGACGTTGACGCTGCTCGTGCTAGTGGTCGTATGGCGTGTGCGGTCTTGGCTCGACTAGTGGTCCGGTCGGCTGGTGACGATGTGACTACTATGGTGGATGAAAACTTATCGGAGAGGCTTCTTGAAGTACTACGGCAGCTGGTGTATGTCAAAAGTGAAGCAGGCATGTTGACTCCGCGGACAGTGGTAAAGATGCACATGGAGCTATCCTGGCTTAAAGGGGAGGATCCGTTCGAAGGTCAGCTCAGTGCATGCTCCAATATAGCAGTATTCGCAGTTGGTCAGATATGGTCACTCGAATGGTCTCGGAGGAAGCGGACGATAGTTCTGCAGCCGATGGCATGTCTCTTGATTCGGAGTCGAGTGACCGCGAAATGGGTAGCCACTCCAGTGATGAGGCCTCGTCATCATCACAGGACTCAGAGCCTCGAGCCAAGCGGTAGGG